ATAATTTATAAAATGTAAACACGCATACATGTATATTCGTTGCCCTCTTAGTCTCTGATTTTTATTTTTTTATTAAAAACATATATCTTTTTTTTTAAAAGGTCAAGTATTTCTCTTTTAATAGAAATTCAAATCTTAACTGATTATATTGTAATAAACTAACTCTTTCTGCTAGATTTATTATTATTGATTTCTAATTTTTCATTTCTATGCTAATTACTAAAAATAAATATACATAATTAATAAGATCATTACAGTAATCTCTCCGTATAGTTTGAAAGGAGGCAGCTCTTGACTAACTTTTGGTTGGGGAGGAAAGAAAAATGGGAGGAACTTCTCTTTTATATCCTCCTCAACTACCCTTCCCCTACTCCATTTTTTCATTGATTGAATTTTAGTATTTTAGATTTAACAGTTTATAAAATTATTATTATTATTTATTTTAAAGGTACATAAATAAATTTGAATTGGTAAAATCTTATGCGAATGGCTCAGATCAGAATTTAGCAGTTGAAATTTATTTTTATGTTTTTTAAATAAAATTATAATATTTTTGGCCAATAATAATAATAATCTTATAAAGTCATAAGTCTAAACCGTTGGAGGAGAGAAGCTATTCTCGAAAGAAGAAAATGTGCATTATATACAGCTTAAAAGTATGTTTCAAATCTTGAGAGAGAGAGAGAGAGAGAGAGAGAGGGGGGGCAATTGCAGAATAATCTTTTTAATTTGGCTGTGACCGCTGGCAACCTCAATGAGAGAATGAATAATAAGGTGAGAAAGTGAATAATGTGCGTTATCTTTTCAGCATGGAGTTACATGTTTAGACTTTCTTAACGCATATACAGATTTATGATATTTTAACTACACTTGTGTTGTAAGCAATTAAGAGGGTTATCAGTTTCATCTTCCATAGAGTCGCAAATATTTAGTCACTAATTTCTCTCTCTTTCCAAGCTTTTTGTCCTTGATTAGTTTTTGATAACTAGTACAATGGTACACTATTGCTCCGGAAAAATCTAAATCATTGAGGTATAGTTTTAATAGGTCTAGATTAAAATTTTCAACTGATGATTTTGAAATAAAAAAAAATCACCTTTTTTAAAAACTTATAGTTAGGATATTACATCTATTTTGGATTATGTATCTATTAAAAAATATTTTTTTTAAAAACAAAAATATTAAATATTAAATCGCGGGTATCATATTAAATTTGAATAATTGAGATCCGATGACCATCATGGTGCTCATTACTGCGATGAGCACTTGAATTGTTCTTTAGAACTTGACGTCACTAGCTCCATTTTATAAGCATGATTATCAAATATTTTCATCTTTATTATTATATTTTTGTTTTTTGTGATCAGCTCTCTTTTTTTCCCCTCAGCACATCACGCTGGCCGAATATTTTCACTAGATCACAATGTTTTAAGTGTAATGTTACAATCTTGGTAGAAAAAAAATATGTATTGTTCTGATAATAGGTGGTTAATTCCTGCAACACTTGATGCCAATTCCCATACGCACATTTTGACAGGAGCCCAATTACACTTGAATGGTCCACTATCTTAAAAGACTCCAGTATTATTAATAATAAATGGCCTCCCACAATATCACTTAGGGTGCGTTCGGATTAACAACTAAAAAGATAATTTATTATCAATTTGACTTTTAAAAAAAATTAGATTGAATACAAGTTAAATTAGATTATATAAATTGTGTTTGGATTAGATTTTATAGAAATTAGTTTATAAAAATCAAATTGAGTAAAAAATTGTTTGGATTATGATTAAATAAAAATAAATTTAGTTTGTAAAATTACCAAAAAGTTACGAGAGAGAAAAATTATGTTTCTGACACAAATAATAATTATTTTAACTGTCATAAGTACAATGAAGCCAAAACAAAAGCTTCTCATATTGGCTTATGGAAATCATGCATTTCTTTTCTTTTTTTTTTTTTTTTGTCATAAGTCAGATAGCCTAACAGTTCAAACAAACAGGTCCAAATTTTTCAATCAGGGGTATGGTCATAAATAAGCTACTTTTGAACTTCTAAACGCCCAACCAAACAAGTTCTTAGTTAGTCCAAAACAGCTCCTTTCCTCTATTCAAAATTCCAAATATCATCAATGTATACAATGCCCCAAAAAGACTTGCATTTTTGTGACATTTGAACTCAACTTCCAGTAGATTATTTACAACTATTTTTATACTTTAAAACTGAAAAATGCATAAAATGTGTAATTAGATAAAATGTTAATATTTACATGTGAATTTCTTGGGTTACATTTTTTGAAGATAAAAATTTTTTTAGAGTAAAGTAACAAATTTACTCCAAGAGTTTTCAGTTTATTGTTTAAGCGCATGAATATTTGTTACAATTTAATTGAATCAACTGATTAAAAGTAATGATCCAAGAAATCAATATTTCTTATTGGTTTTTCTAGAATCAAAGTATAACAATGATATGGCTTTTATAACAAAAGGCCAAGAACACAAGATAAGTGAATGAATACAATTGGCAGATTTTTATTGGATACACTTGTTTTACTTCGATTAGAAAATTTTAAGTCTATGCCTTTCTCCAAATTTTTATAAAACTTTTAAAGGGAAAAAGTATTTTTGCGCCTAAACTATTTATTCAACATTATTTATTGGAACAATATCGATATCCTTAATGAGCATCAGAATCATTGCAATATCGCCATTTGACTTAAGGACAGACAGTTGATCGTTAATTTTAGATTGATTGTGGGTTAAAAAGCATTTTTGCCCCTAAAATATTTTTAATAAATCACCATATTTTCATAGTTATACTTGCTTAGTCTTGACTTCTAATTGGCTCGTACTTTCTAGCATGGTATTGAAAACCAGACCAGATCGGCCAGTTCAGACCAGAAACCGGTGAACCAGTCAAGAAACCGGTTTGGTTGAGGCTGTGAACCGGGTTTACAGTGACTCGTAATGACCCGAGTAACCTACCCGTTTTGGTGGGTTAACCCGGGTCCCCCTTTTTAAAAAAAAAAAAAAATTTTGATCATTTTTTTAAAAAGATGTTGATAATTAGGACTTAGTGATTGAATACTTATGGAGAGGAATATTTTGTTATCATATATCTATTTTGATATTTTATTGGGATGAATATTTAGTGATTTTAGTAGTATAATATTATAATAAATTGTAAGGATATGATTATTTTACTAGTAATTTAAGATATTAAATTGATATCTAGTTCTTAGTGAAATTTAAATTTTTTTATTTTTTTATTTCTCACCAGTTTGACTCCCGGTTTGACCCCTGGTTTGATTCCGGTCTGACCCACTGACTCTTGACCCATTGTCTTGACCGATTCAATTGCCGGTTTTCAGTACCTTGCTTTCTAGTTCATTTGAGCTTAATTGCCAGATATTTGCGCTGGAGAGCATAATTGATGCCAATTTGGAAAAATTTTAGATTTATTTCATTTTTTAATTATTTTATTGGTAATTATTTGCTATTTATGTATATTATTCCAATATGCAGGTAACAAGAATTAAACGTTGATGACTTAAAACAATCGGTCACCTAAAAAAGGAAATAGTTTTATTTCATTTTGTTTTTCCTTGATTTTATATTTACGGCATAAACATTCTTCCATTATTTTAATTACCGGCGGATTGATTAGAGAATCAACCTACCTTACATTCCAACCCCATGCATTCTAAAATCCTAGAGGGTGTTTGGTAACATAAAAAAATTGCTTTTGAAAAGTACTTTCCGTAAAACGAGACAAACTTCTTCATATATTTATTTTATATACCGTAAAAGTATTTTTAAAATTACTGTTTGGTTTCTATCTAAATACCTTTTTAATTTTATTTTCAATATTCTTAATTCCCTTTCCTTCTTTCAAAAGTGGCGATTCCCTCTTATGTCCGTTTCATATTTTAATTCATTTTATTAGATCTTCATTCTACATATTTCACTCCTTTTCATATTCTCAATTTTCTCTCAACTCTTTAATTCACTCCATTTCCTTCAAGGGAGTGCTTATAAAAGAATTTTAAAATAATAAATGCAAAATCACGAATTATGTTTGCTTTCATCACTCTCTCCTTTCCTCTACATATTTAAAAAGGCCCAGGCAACAAAAATATATATTTAAAAATAGGATTTTACAAATGGCAAGTACTCTGTACAAATTTCTTCCTATCTCTGAATTTGAGGTGAGGTTCTTGAATGCTACTTCCCATCTTAATTATAAGTGTAGTTTACAACAAGGTCTTATAAATAGAATTGAAAATAGTATACTTTTCTGGTCCTATTTATAAGACAGAGAAAGAAGATAACCTTTGGTTCTATTTATAGGGTTCTGAGAGAAATTTTTTATATAGATGTACAATTTTACCCCTCATTTATTATTGTGTTGACTTTGTTTACATGAGGTATAATATATATTAAATAAGGATAAAGTTAAAAAGTTACTAAATTTTAAATAAGAGTTAATGAAGTTTAAAATTTTTTTTGCTCTGTATGAAATATGCCGAAAACGCCTTATAAATAGGACCAGAAGAATATATAGTTATTTTTATGCGTAATTAATTAATGAACAAGCTCCTTAGAAAGCAACCATGAATGTATATACTAATATTGTAGTTTTTGTAAGACGATAAATATAGTGCATATAAAATTAAATTAGTAAAAACGAATGATTAACGTTGGCAAAAAAAAAAATCATTCACTAAAAAGTCATATCAAGTATATATCAAGTATTTAGAACATTAAAAAAAAATCATGTATATAGTAAAGAGATATTGAACTTCAGGTCAAAAAATAAGTAAACAGAAATAGAAAGGCGGATGTGGCACCAAAGAAAACAAATAATAGACGGTGGATTAGAGAAGATCGGCGTCTGTGATCCTAGTGAATATAATTCTCCCGCCCTTTTTTATCGGAGGAGGAGGAGGACGAAAGCCTTGGCGCAGATAAGAGAAGTCTCAATTCCCTCTCATGCTCGACATGGACGCGCCACAAGATTATTCAAACCTAATGGCCACTCCTTTCTCTAACACTGAGGTCAGCTTCATCAAACTAGTATACTCTAATATACTATTTCCTCTTTTCTCTTTCGCCATATTAAACTCATGTTTTCTGTGTTTGGTCTCGCCGTCGTCCCTGCATGATTTTTTTAATATCTAAAAGTTTTTTGGTTGCTTTCTCTCTGGGGTTGAAAAGAGCGTTGTTTTATTTTATCTGTGGTTTTCTCTCTTTTCAACTTTCTCAACAAGTCACGTCCTTGTCGTCTATTGAGGCTCCTGCAATTTTGGAGATCAATTTAAACTCTCTTATAGGTTCGGTTGTGAGATGGACAGAATCCTATGATGTCAATCTATGTAGTCTACTTTTTGTTTTGAAGTGGGATGGCTCAAGCGTTTGTTTAGATTAACGTCTGATAAAAAGTTACTTTTATCACAACTGCTTTTTGTAAACTGAAGATTGGAATAAAAATCAATTACTATAATACTATTTTCGGTCCTAATTATGAGACCTCGTTTGTAGACTATAAACGAGGTCTTATGATTAGGGCCGGAAGTAGCACAATTTATGTTTGAACTGAACTTATTTAGATAATATACTAAAAAAGACAGTTTAAAAAGATTCAAGATCTAAGAAATCCAAAAGTTTGAATCCTAAAAAAATTGCTTCAATCTTAAAGTGGTTTTTGAACAAAAAGTCAGATAAGCTAAAAAGCATGCCACACATCATCAAAGTTCCTGAAATAGTATTTTAAGCCTTAGAATTCATTTTAAACACACAAACCAATCTAATAAATATTATTTGGAAAGTATGTTCTGGTTTGTTGCCATTGATGCTTGAGTTTCTTTTTCTTTTCTTTTCTTTTTTTATTTCTTTCTCTGTTCAAGTGCAACAGAATCTTTGGTACATGGGCTCATCCTTTAATTATCTGAGTCTGATGATATTTCTAAGTCATGTCCCAATATGTGCAGGATTCGTATGTATTCAGCTATATGAATGGACTTTCTCCAATAAAACCAGATAAGCCTGTTCAGCAAAATCAGGCATTAAGCTCCACAATCTTTTGCTCCCCTCCATCTGTTTTCACATCCCCCCATGTCTCCTATCGCAAGGAACATGGAATCCTCCATAGGTAATTTTGATTTTCCCCTGTTCATTGCAATTGTAATATCCTCATTAATTACATACTGAAGATAACTCTCTTTTGATTCGACTCTGACAATTTGATCCACTTCGTTTATATATAGCCACGCTCCTTTTCTGGATTCACCAAAGCCAACTGTTTCATTTGAACGTGGCTTACAAATAAGTTCAGGCGAAGAAGCTGTTTCATACACAGATCTTGCACATCGTGACTCAAGTGAGCTCCAGGAAAGTACTGATCAAGGGAATGCTTTGGTTGAACAATTAAGCAGAAAATGTACACTTGACATGCCAAAGGGTTCAATGTATGATTGTGGGAGCCCTAGTTCTGACGAGACAATTTCTAGCATTGTCCGGGGATTATTTGCACCAGTATCAGAAAATAATGAACGACCAGGATGTGATTGGGAGGGTCTTACTCCCAATGAGACCGGTACTCTTGAGGGTCTGACCCAGAAATCATTGGGTCCCATAATTAGACCTGGTTTTTTTATGCCTCCGTTACCACAAAATAGCTTTAGGAACTCGCACACTGTTGACTCACAATATCAAAGTATAGTCAAAACAGCCACAGAAACTGAGCAAAGGCAGGACAATATTTTCAATTTGGCTGTGATGGCTAGCAACCTCAATGAGAGAATGGATAATGAGGTGAGTAGGTGAATAATCTTTTCTCCATGGAGTTACATGTTTAGACTTTCTCAATGCATAGATGTTTGATATATTTTAGCTATACTTGTGTTGTAAGTAATTAAGAGAGTTATCAATTTCATCTTCCATAAGTCGCAACTCTATTTAATCACTTTTTTATTCCTTTTAAGCTTTTTGTCCTGGATGAGAACCTGATGCCACTAAATAATATCCCCATTTATGAACCTCATTATCAACGATTTTCATCTTTATTATTATATTTTTGAATTTAGAACTAGAGTATTTAATTCTAGTAAAATAGTGAATTGCTATTGTTTGTAGTTTATTATTATACAACTATATTTTAATTACATAGCATAGCAGTTCAGAGGGTTACATGTCATTTGATTCTTTTTATTTGTTTGTGATTTATGAATGAATGGTCACTCTAAATATATTTTTGTCTTTTGTGATCAGCCTTTTTTCGCAGCAGATCACCGTATGCCGAATAATTCCAGTACATCACAATGTTTGGAGTGTAGTGTTCCTAATAATAAGTGGTTTATTCCTACAACCGTTAATGTTAATTCCCATATGCACATTGTGCCGGGAACCCAATCGCAATTGAATGTTCCACCTCCCTTAAAAGACTCCAGTATTATGAACAATAGATGGCCACCCACAAGACAAATCAGTCCATCCAACTCATCTCCTTCCTTCATGTCTCTACAAGCCAACAGCTTGATCAAATATCACCAATGTATAGAATGCCCCAAAGAGACCTGCATGCCCAAAACGGTTGGACTCAGCCGGCATTAGATTATTCACAACCAACAGCTCTATTTATTGGTGAAGGTTATAATCGAAATAGCTCCAACAGGAAAAGGCAAGTGTCACTATTACTGATTAGACATGTTTCTGATTATTTCTGAGGATTCCTTCACTAGCCTGATCCCAAGTTGGGTTTGTAGGCGTAAGTCAGAGCCTGCTAAAGAAGGTGAAGGTTGCAAGCATTGCAAATGCAAGGTCTCAAATTGCTTGAAGCTGTAAGTTCAGATACTTCCATTCTCCCCCAACCCCCCAAAAGAATGTACCACTGATTGTTTAACTTCACTAGCTTTTAATTGACTCTTCTTTTCTCCTTTTGTATCTTCTGTATCAGTTACTGCGAGTGCTTTGCTTCTCGCGTCTACTGCGTGGGATCTTGCTCCTGTCGAAACTGCTTCAACAAGCCAATTCATGAAGAAATTGTGCTTAAAACTCGCAAGGACATTGAGTCTCGTAACCCTCTTGCATTTGCTCCCAAAGTCGTCATCACAAATGCTGGTTCTTTACCTGAAACTGGGGTTAGAATTAAATTCAGCTATATGCTCATAACTGAGATTTAATCACTTGTGACATTTTATTAATCCCCTTCCTTTTTTTTTCTGTTCAGGCTGATCCAAACAAAACTCCAGCTTCAACAAGACACAGAAGAGGATGCAACTGCAAGAAATCTGGGTGCCAAAAGAAATATTGTGAATGTTACCAGGTTTTTTTCTAATCTTGTATCCTGAATGCTTCTATGTTCTTGTTATAGTATGAACTACTGATGATGGTTGTTTCCTTTTGAAGAATGGAGTTGGTTGCTCCATTAGATGCAGATGTGGAGGATGCATGAACGAATATGGGAGAAATTATGGCAAGTCTGTTTATAGATTTTCAATTTTGAACCATCTCTTTTGATCTTTCAATAGCTCTAAATCTTTTTGCATGAGATTATTCCTTCAGAGTTTGATGTCATCTCTCTTACTCAGGTTCTTCTGAATTAAGAATAGAAACTGAAACCGGAACAAATGAATCCTGTGAAATGGTTATGGCAGAAAAAGCTTCACAGATAAATGAAACTCTAAAAGGAAATCCAAATTCTGCTGCTCCTTCCCCAACATCTGCAGGGTCTCGCAGGTTTGCTAAAAGCAGGCTTATAAACAATTCCATTCGATTCAAGTTCTGAATTGTAGAATCAAAGTTTCTTGTTTGTTATGGTTGACTTTTATGTGTGGCAGATCAAGGGCTCCATTGCGTGGTTCATCAAGGAGAAGACAACCTAGTAATTTGATCACTCCAGCTGCTTCTAGATTTCATGCGAGCCTGTTAAACTTTGAATATAATCTCCAAAGCAATCCAGAACTGGAAATTCCAGAGATTCTCCAAGTTGGTGATGGCTCTCCTGTCCCATGCATGAACAACACTTCTAATAGCCCTCCATTTCCTTCTTTCAACCCTCGCCAATAGTTTGTTTTCCACACCTTAGGCCACCCTTACCACACGAGGCAATTTTTAGTTTTTTACTGCCACTGGAAATAATGTTTTAGGCGGTTGATATTGCCATTTTTAGCCCCGACCATTTCTGTATTTTTTTCATTTTGTCGTGATGAATTGGTCTCAGGTGACTACGGGTTATGCCTTGAGATCACTGTTTTTGATTTTGGACAATAATATCTATGTTTGAATTTCTGATAGAATAAATTATTCTTGTCCTCAATAAGATCCATATTTCATTTTTTTTTTTCATTGTTTTGTTTAGGCTCAAATATCGATATGTTCCCTCAGAGTTTTATTTTTATTAATTTAGTCCTTTAAGATTCATGAAGTTAACATATTATCAACTAGAGGAACAAATTATCGACATTTCAGAGACTTTGTTGGCAATTTTGTTATAACTTAGCAACTGGTTGTTGACATTTCAGAATTTATCAACAACAGTCCCTCACGAGGACTAACATAATAACTTCATGAAACATAAAGGACTGAATTGATAAAAATAAAAATTGAGGGAACAAACCAATAGAGTCACACGTAAGGGAATTTTATCATCCCAATAAATTATATGAGGCAATTTTTTTTTCAACGTAAAGTTACATCTGGCAATTGAATGGGCGCACAAACAAACTGGGCTGCATTGGTTGGGCTTGTTATGACAGGCCAGGCCCAAAACTAAGCCCAAGGTTTGACGCAGAAAAGAAGGACCAAATTTATCACCTTCAAGCGGTAATCTTTTCCTAAACAGTTTCCACTTATTTTCCTGAACTATTTAACAACAGTATAACACCAGACCCGGAAAATTAATATCCCCAGTAAAAAAAAAAAAAAAATAAAAACAAGAAGAAAAATGAACAAGTGGTACAGTCATAAATAGAATCACGAGCAACACATAATTTTATGATTGTAAAAGGCTTTTCTTCCACACATGTTATGGTGCTGAGTCACAGGTGTGCACGTGGGACGCGGATAGTACAATGATCATCGCATAGAAAGGCATATGAGCTGCACTATGTACCTTTGCCTTTTCCGATGTGGGAACCAAGTTATTATGTTGTTTTGTTCAAAATTTTGTCGGCCTTTTAGGCCGTGAACTTTTGGGATGAAAAGTGGGATTAGTTTTATTTTTTTTGGTTCAGGTTACACGAACTTTTTGAGAATCTTTGAGTGGGGAAAATAATAGGCCACAAAGAAACGAAAACACAATCTCAAAGATGTCATCTTTTTTAGAATTGAACGGGGACCATATTAATAATAATATTAGTAATGATCACATTCTGCATTCTACAGCTTGGGCTTTCTTCAATATTTCAAAAAACTATTATTGCGTTCTTCTCTTTGGTGGGTGTCCTCCCTAGCACGCGTCTTACGTAGACGACTTATCTCTCTCTCTCTACACATACACAAGTAAAGGGAGTGATGGGGGGAGAGAGAGAGAGAGGAAGAGTGGGGAAGAAAGTTGATGAGTAGAAGAAAAAAATGGAAGAGAGGAGATCACAATCAAGAAGGTGGGTGAGTTTGGAGCCTCTCACCTATATATTCCTTTTATTTCTTTCTGTCTTCAAAGCATCGCTTTTGTTGTGCTGTTCACATCATCCTCCCCAGCCACACTCATTTTAATATTCTTTCTCCTATTTAAGTAATGTAGGCCTCGTGATCCATATATGTACATAAATAAAATAAATAGCCCCACTCACTCATCCACGCTCCATCAGTATGTATTAAGTATTACTCTCCCCGTCTCTTATTATAAGAGACAAATAACCAAATTACGTTGATAAAAAAATAGTTAAAATTAGTTGAGGACAATTAATATATAAAAAATATAATGTTTTTTTCCAACAATGTTCCCATTAATAAGGAGAGAGTATGAGAGAGAACAATTAAATTATTAAAAGAAAGAGAAGTGAGATGGAGAAAGAGTATGGGTTGGAGACAAAATAAATAGGGGTAAAATAGGAAATCAATACAAAAAAATAGAGACAACTTTTAAGTGTCTCTTATATATGGGAACATGCCATAAGCATCAAATGTCTCTTATAATAAGGAACGGAGGAGGTAAGTAACTAATATATAGTTAGATTGAATGGAATTGACATGGTTATTTTGAGATGAAATTGTGGGTTTTTAATATTGTGGTTGGGAATAGAATCTCGTCGGGAGAGTTAATCCCTTAATTTGAATTAGTAGACAATAATGAATGAATGTATATATTGTTTTGATTTGATTGTATGAAAAAATAAGTCCATTTGACTTGATTATTTAGTGGCTTTCAAAACCAACATTTAATGGAATGTGTGGAAGTTCCAACAATGCGATGATGATGATGGTACCGTGCCAACGCTGTGTCTTTTTCTGAAAGCAAATACTCCCTCCGTTCTATTATAAGAGACATTTGATGCTTATAGTATGTTTAAATATAAGAGACACTTAAAAGTGTCTTTACTTTTTTGTGTTAATTTCCTATTTTACCCATATTATTGTCTCCAACTCACACTCTCTCTCCTTCCCACTTCTCTTTCTTTAAGAATTTACTATGTTCTCTCTCATGCTCTCTCTCTTATTAATGAGGGCATTTTGGAAAAAAAATTATACTTTTTGCACATTAATTGTTCTTAACTAATTTTAACTGTTTTTTTTATCAATGCAATTCGGTTATTCGTCTCTTATAATAAGGAACGGAGGGAGTAGTAGTTGTGAGCTTCTCTTGTATATATATCATGTATGTTTCTATTTGAACATTTCCAATTTTTAATGTCACACCCATAATTTTTCCTTTTAGAACCATCAATTTTTTAAATATGTGGATAGCAAGTTATCCTAATAACAACGGCACTTATCATGCTTCAATGAGGTCTCAAACTTAAGTCTGGTGTTACCATATTTGTATATGCAAGTGTATTTAATTGTATAAAATCAGAAGAAAAAAAATACACCATCAATTTCTTTAATACAATAGACAATTACATGTTCTTCATATGTCTTAATTGATATTTATTATACATATATATATATATATAGTTGTTGATTTGTGCATGTTATTTGAATAGATGGCTCCTTGGGTGAGAATGACCAATCATGAGTTGATATGCAAGCAAAGTGGATTCCATCTCGTCTCAGAGTTTCTAGAGATGGTGGGTCATTCATTGGTTAGTTAACTCAACAGATCAGAGTTATATATATATATATATATATATATATAACTTTTGGATTTTAATTTATGGGCATATGAAATGAATGATAAAGATATTACCAACAATAATCTTTCTTTAAAATGAGTTGAAAGCTAACAGGATTAAACTCGTAATATTCCCATCGGCATAAAAAAGTATTGGACTACAAAATCATTAGCATTAATGATGATGCAAATTAAAAGAATATTACTTTAAGTTCTAATTATAAGATCTCATTTATAATTAGGACTGGAGGTAGTATGATTTTACTAAAGAATAATAATATAAACTCAAACTCATGTTTACACAACAACAAAAAACACTTCCTCTAGTACTAAAAATAAGAACCAAATATATAACTAATTTATAAATAATAAAAAAATAATTAAATTAATTATTTGAAAAAAATGCGTGTTGCGTAAAGTACATATTTTAATTTAATCATTTGTATTGAAAACTACTTTATTAATTTAATTAGTAAATAGGCAAAGTCTCAAAAAAATTATACTACTTCGAGTTCCTAGAGAGTATTATTTTAATGCGTTGTGGGTTTTAAAAAATTATTTTTTTTATCACTCATACATCCATCGCTTAAAGAGTTTGTACTCATAACTTCAAAATCTGAAAGGAAATGCTTACTGTCTACAAAGCCCGAGGATTTTTAAAAAGTATTGTTTTTTTTTGCCAACTTTTGAGAAGTAGTTGGAAATTATGAATGAAGTTAAAGATAATAAAATTATATTTGAGCAATACCTAAAAATACGTATACACACATGTGGTCATATAAAGGTGATATTCCCACCTAATTGTTGAATTAGTTTTGGTTTTAAATACAAGATCCATTTATATATTTATAAATTTTTTATAAATTACCCTTATAGATACTGCCTCAACCATAATCAAATAGAAGAGGAAGATAGGGTATTAAGAAAGATGATTATAATATTTTAGGAAAAACATGTTATATTTCTTATAATTAACTAATTTATCTAACTTTTTTAATCTAATCAAATTAGTTAAATAAGTTTTATATTAAATATAAGATAAATATATTATTAATGGATTCATCTTTCAAAACTACTCTCTTTAAAAGCTTATCGACCAAGAGGGAGAAGTCACATGGAGGTTGGCCCCACATTTTTGCCCACGCTCCCAATCCAAGTGCATACCTCTCCTGCCGACCCCGGTTTCTCCGCCCGCGTTAAAAGCTCCAATTCTAATTTTGATTGTTGGTTTAATACTATACTACTTTCAGTTTTAAAATTTGATCTTATTTTGATTTTATTTCTTAAAATTTGGGATCATTGATTTTATTCCTGAAATTTGATTTTATTTTTGATTTAGTCTCTGAAATTTAAAATAAATAGTTTTTATTCCTGAAATTTAACCATATGTTAGTTTTGAATTTCGGTTTTTGGTTCAGGACTAAAAAAAACCTCAAAAACGTCATATAAATAGGAGAGTAATGTTGAATTGAGGGAATTATTGGACGGTGACCGGAGTGAGGATGAAAATTGAAAAGTCCGTGTTTGTTGACAGTGCCGTGTTGACAAAATTTGCCTAGGCAGCAAAACGAAAATATTAAATGATTGTCTCTTTCACATTTCTCTTTCCCCCTTCTCCCTCGTTTTATCTTTTTTGTTTTTTTTAAAAATCCATTCCTCATGATATTTTCTTCCCCAAAAAATAGCATCTTCTCTGTTATATATCAATTGAAATCAGTCTTATCATACTACTTTCGATCCTTAATATAAAAAATAATTGATTAATTTGAATAAATTTAAAAAATTTGTTAAATTAATTATTTGTAATAAATATGTATTATTTTTTTAGAATATCCTTACTAATCATATGTATTAGCTAGAACTACTATTTCATATGATTTTTTAATATGTGCAACTATTACCCAAGGACTACTTGAAAAAAAAAAGATAAATATGAGAAACAAAATGGATTAACTTCTTATATTTAGAACTAATTAAAAGTTAAACTAGTTCTAATATAGATTAAAGATTGGAGATAATATTAAACATTATCTTTGATGGATTATTTTTATTAAATTTACTGCAGGATAGATATTTAACATAACTTTTCACCCAAAAAAATATTTAATATAACAAATATTATGCTCATCAAATTTAAATGTCACGCTTCAATGTAGGAAATAATTGAAAATATATATGTAGGGTGTCGGCATGGTGGGCTATGACCGCCCGTTGAGGCACCTCCACAAGAAAATTTGCTGGGGTAGCCTGTTTGGTATGCCTACTCCTTCGTGAATAAAAATATTTTTATATTTACTAACAAATTATTAGTTAAGATGATAAGCAATTTTATCTCTCTAAAAATAGAACATAAGTTTAAATTTTAAGAATCATACTTGTTAGAAAGGTTTTAATCTTAACACTTATAGCCCGACAGAAGTTAAAATATAAGTTCGAATTCTAAAAAATGCAATTATCAGAAAAGCTTTATCCTTAACACCCACCCACAGAGGTTAAAATATTTTTGTATATTATTTTTTCATATATGTCTATGTGTGGAAGAATTAATTTAAAACTCATATTGGTAAACATATTTGTTTATTCTTCTTGAGAAGATATTTGGAAAATAAAATTTAAAATTCACAGTATCTCTTCATTTGTGGTTAGAATCTTATTTACATAAGGATCTAATGACTAAATATCAAATCAACTCACAAAACTTAAAACATCAAAGAAAAATATTACCATCTCTTAAGTCCAAGAATGATCATATCCTATGCTATATTCTTTATACATAACAATATTTTTGTTATTATCAGTATAACCTGGCGAACATCAAAATACGAGTAATTATTTTTAGTTATTAATTATTAAAAAAACAACATTTTAAATAATTATTAGATAGAATATTATTTTAAGCCTAATATCATTCTTTCATAAACCAAACCCCACAAAATCTAAAAGTAGCACTAATCATAATGAAAGCCAAACACCTTGATTATCACCATGCAATGCATAATCAAGAACGATAGGATTTCAGGAATATAAATTTATGATAGAATCTTAAAAAAGTACTCCTCCGGTCCTTAATATAAGACCCATTTAACTAATTTGATTAGATTAAGGAAGTTAGGTAAGTTAGTTAATTATAATAAAAGTGATACATTTTTCCCAAAATACCATAATCATCTTTCTTAATACTCCCTCTCTCTCTCTCTACTTGATTATGGGTGAAAAATAGCTATAGGAGTAATTTAGAGAAAATTGATAAATATGAGAAATGGGTCTTATATTTATGACTAAAACCAACTCAAGAATTGGGTCCTATATAAGGACCGGAGGAGTATTATATTATATTATATAATATGAAAACAAATCTTAGAATCTGAACTTTTTTTTTTGTGCAAATTCTTCTGGAAGCCAACTCTGCCATGGACTCTTCTTTTGCTTTATAGCATCTCGCCTAATTATCCCAATAATTGTTTATATTATAAACTCACTTCAGTAATTAATATTATAAAATAACAACAAACAAACTTTACAATTAAATACAAAATTTATATGATTTTTACGCAACTCCCTCTTCTTTGCTTCTTCCCACCTACGTACTGTCGGCTCCCAAAAAAAAAAAAAATAGAGAGAGAGAGAGAGAGGTGTTTGTCAAGGAGGGGAAAATATGAACATACATGAAATTGCACCCAATCATTGTTTCTATATTCCACTTTCAAGATCACAAAACTTCAATCATTGTCCAATAATCATATAACGTGAATATTAATTTTGTTCCTGAAATTTGTTATCATTTTGATTTTAATATCCTGAAATTTGAAATTAGTATTTTTTGTTAACATTAATTTCGAATTTTAGAACTGAAATTTAAAAGAGATCAAATTTTATGGATTACTAATGATATATTAAGTAATGTTATGATGAAATAATGTGATGACATTTGAAGAATAAATAATAATATAAAAAAATTTTAGTTTTAAATAAATATTTAATAAAATTAAAAAGAAATTCTAAGAATGATTTAACAATATTTTACAATTTTCAAGCAACAAAAAGGAGACAATAATCAATTACTCTTCAAATCCTAAATATAAAACCTTTATATATTAGTATAAAAATCTTATATTTAAAATCAAAAGTCCTGTAATTTTTAAATTTAGAACAAGCAATACTTAATATTTTGCTAGAATATTTATAAATCACGTGCAAGGTGCATGTGATATGACTTCATTAACTTCGAAGTGCGACTGTGTAAAAAGAGTAATTTATGAAAGCAAGGTAAAAAGTGAGAAACACGAGAAAGGGCAGAATAGTAACTACGGCACTTCCTAATATCTCTATCTAATCTCACCCGTCTGTTTTGACGGTAACGATGAAAGGCGGATTAAACCTGAAGAATATGACCGTTTACTGGAAAATCAAATTTAATTAATCAGTTTAACAAATTAATCAATGAGATTAAAGGCATGACCATAAATTTTCTTCCGTGCGCTGTTCCCAAATTTTGCTGTTGGGGGGTTCAAGATATTCACTCACACGCATTTACCTTTCCTTAAGCACAGTAGAAGGCAATAATGATTTCCCATTCGATAGTCACCAAAATAAGAGAATATTATCAAAAGCAACAAAATCCCGTACTTTTCTGCCCACTCTGCGTCGTCCTTTTCACAGTTGATGAGTCATGGGAGTGTCAGACAGCCAGCATCTTTAGAATATAACGTGAAGTAGAACGCATCTCAAGGAGAGAGAACTGGGAAGGGAAGTGGGCTGGTCCTTGCGTCGTCGCTGAGATTGAAGCAAAAAAATGGGGTGAAATGGAAGATAAGCTGCTGCTAAAGGGAATCCCATTGTGAGATTTCTTGCCCTGTTGTTGTACTTGATGCAGTTTGGACTAAACTTTGATTCTGTTTGCGATATTCTTGAATCTTGATGTCCATTTCTGAATTTGAGGTAATGATATCTGTTTCAGTGGTAGCCGCTTGTTGGGTTGCTGATCAGTGCCTGCCATTTAGTTTACTTGGTAAGTTTTTGATCCTTAACACTCAACAGATCAGTTTCTGCAGAACTCTTCAATCCCTCTGTGATATGCTTTCTGTTCCTCTTGGTGTCGCCGTTTCCGTTTCCGTGTCCTCCTTGTTTTTTATTGATTCCTTCGTGGTCTGAATGCCATGGTTTCCTAGAGTGTCAGAGCTAGCGTCTGAGAACACAGTATGTGACCCATCACAAGGTTAGAGGAGAGAGAAGGGAGGCAGGTTCGTCGGAGAGATGGAGAGCTTGTAGGATAGATGAAAGGGAAGATGAGATCCCGTTGCTAAGATTTCATACTTTTGGGGCGTGCTTTAGCAAATTTGGAGTAAAGCACGATTCTTTTTTCGATTTTCTCGACACCAAGTTTGACAGAATGATGTTGCTCTGAGTGGTAACTGGCGATTGCTGATCACATTTACCATCCAACCTCTTGGTAGGCTTTTAATCTCGTCAACAGATCAGTTTTACCAACATTCTTCAATCCCTGTTGAAGCTGCTGTTCCTTGAATTTTAGTTCCAATCACGGTTTCCTCTTTCTTGTCCCTTCTTCTTTTCCCCTTCAAGCTCTAGATGCCACAGTTGATCATTAGGGGTGTGTAGTTTTTTTTAATTTTGGTTTCTCACCCTCAGGATCTACTGTTTAAATTTTTTAAGTCCAGAAATTGCGCGTCATAGAGGGTATTTTATCTGGCTTGTTGACAAGTATCTTTTGATTGTCCCCGGCCCTCATTGCCTGGCAGCTTTAAAGATGTATTTTAGTCTCACATTTTCTAATTCCTCTTTTCTTCACAGTTAATTCTGATTTTGAACTTTAGAAGCTGTTGATACAAGGCTATGCTCTCAGATTTTGGAGCTAGGTCCAATTGGGAAGGTAATACAGCATTGATGTTGGAGCAATTTCCATCTTCTAAGCAGTACGACTGGATTTCTCTCATATCTCTATCTATCTTTTCTAACTATATTGAGTATATAATCATTTGATATTAGGTACAATAGTCTCAAAGTAGAACAAGACAGGTGGTCGGAATCCATAGAATAATAGTCTGGCTTGGAACCATTCCCAGGCCTTTGCCGTAACAAAACCAGCTGCGCTGTTGTTATTAGCTGGAGTCATGGCAACTTTGTTACATTCTGAGTCCAGGCGCTTATATTCTTGGTGGTGGGATAGCCACATCAGCCCAAAGAACTCAAAATGGCTTCAGGAGAACCTTACAGGTTTGACATTTTCCACTACGTCTGAACTCTCTACCATTGTCACACAAAGTCCGGTTTTCAGCAGTTTTTGTGTCGTAAAGGTGATGCTATTTATTTCAGCAGAACCTATTAGGCGTGTCGGTTGAGAATATGCCATATTAATTGTTTTATATTTTCATCCCTGCAAATTTCCATTTTGTCGAGAAAGGGGAAATGTGGGAAGGGATCAACATGGAAATATAATACTCCATACTACTTGCCTGTCTGCTCCGTTTTATGGATCACTATGTTATTGGTTAGCTGTGACTGATGCCAATAAAACGTCATGAACTTGGAAATATATATATATATATATATATATTGTTTTGAATGTTCTCGATAAAGTAGATTAAGTCTCTAGCAGTCAAGTTAGCTTTTATACCAACTGATCCATTATTAATGAATATTTTTATTGTAGTTTGACTTTGTTGTCTTAAATAATTTTTGTTTTTTTTAAGTATAGAAGTGGAAATATGGACCTGCAGTGCTAGATTGGTCTGCTACTTCTTAAACTTGCTTTGCAAAAATAAAATAAAATAAGAACACAAAATGAATCGAAGCAAGTTGTTATCATGAAACACACGCAGGGGAAATGACATTTGAATGTTACATTGAATAACTCCTCTTGCAGTGGATTCCCCCCCTCCCCAACCCAAAAAAAAAAAAACTCACAGCTAGAAGCTAAATATAATCTGTTTGTCAGAGGACAATTTTGACGTTAATAGATTCTATGTGACTCGGGAAAGAGGTTGATCAAAGAGAAGGGAAAAAAATACGGTTGCTATAATTTGTGAAACGTGGGCCTTTAATGTGATTAGATAAGGAAAAAGAAGCAAATAGAGTTTGTGCTTGAGTTGTTTAGTTCAGAAACTTGTGGTTGACTTAATTAAAATTTTTACAGACATGGATGTCAAAGTAAAATCAATGATCAAGCTGATTGAAGAGGATGCTGATTCATTTGCAAGGAGGGCAGAAATGTACTATAAGAAGCGCCCTGAACTCATGAAATTAGTTGAGGAGTTCTACCGAGCATACCGAGCTCTAGCAGAAAGGTATGATCATGCAACAGTAGAATTACGCCAGGCCCACAAAACCATGGCAGAAGCATTTCCCAACGAAGCTCAACATATGTTGAATGATAATTTGCCATCTGGTTCTTGTGGCCTTGGGGCCGAGCCACACACGCCAGAAGTTCCTCATCCAATTCGTGCATTCATGGAGCCAGATAACCTACAGAGTGATGCACTTGCACTTTCGTCAATCCGCAATAATTTGAAAAAGAACGGAGGGAACGCAGAGGAAACAGACTATGGCATAAGCAAAAAGGGTCTGAAGCAGCTGAATGAAATTTATGGGTCTTCTCAGTCACCAGCTGGAAAACAGAAGGTTAAGAATCAGATCAATTATGATTCTGAGCATACAGGGAGAGTAGAAGGCGAAGTTCAAAGCTTGAAGGAAGCCCTGGCCAGATTACAGTCTGACAAGGATGATATCCTTCTTCAGTATCAGAGGAGTTTGGAGAAGTTATCTGAAATGGAAAGAGAGCTTAATAAGACTCAAAAGGATGCTGGAGGCCTTGATGAACGAGCTAGTAAAGCTGAAATTGAAATCAAAATATTGAGGGAGGCTCTTGCAGAGCTGAAAGCTGAGAGGGATGCTGGTCTAGCTCAGTACAATCAGTGTTTACAGAAGATAGCTAGCCTGGAGGCAATGTTATCTATGGTGCAGCAGCATGCTAAGGGTCTTGATGAGAGGGCTGCTAATGCAGAAACTGAAGCAAAAAATCTCAAGGAAGAAATTGCCAGATTGGAGGCTGAGAAGGATGCTGTTCTTCTTCAGTATAAACAATGCCTTGATAAAATATCTGTTTTAGAAACTAATGTATTTCATGCTGAGGAGAAATCCAGAATGCTAAATGGGCAAATCGAAAAGGCAGAATTTGAAATTAAAGCACTCAGGAAACAGCTTGCTGAACTGCATACTGAGAAGGAAGCTGTAGCTATCCTGTACGAGCAGTGTATGGAGACAATAACCAAAATGGAGAGTGAAATTTTGCAGGCGCAAAAAAATTCTGACCGATTGAGTAAAGAGATTGAGACTGGAGCTGAGGAATTAAGGAATTCTGAAAAGCATCGTGATATGTTGGAGAGATCAAATCAATCTCTTCGTCTGGAGGCTGATGATCTAGTGCAGAAGATTGCTATAAAAGATAAAGAGCTCTTAGAGAAGCATGCTGAGTTGGAGAGGCTTCAGACTCTGCTACAGGAAGAACATTCTAACTTTCTTCAAATCGAAGCCACTTTGCAGACCTTGCAGAAGTTGTACTCCCAATCACAAGAGGAGCAAAAATCTCTTTCTTTGGAGCTTAATCATGGGCTTCAGCTACTGAAGGAGTTAGAACTTTCCAAAGAAGGATTTAAGGAAGAAGTGCAAAAGATTGTTGCAGAGAACAGGACTCTTCATGAACTTAATATTTCTTCTACTAGCTCATTACAAAATCAGGAAATGGAAATCTCTAAATTGAAGGAGATTAAAGAGAAACTTGAACAGGAGTTTTCTGCTAAATATGAAGAAAGCAATGCTCTCCAGCAGGAAATTCATGAAATGAAGAACGAAATCCAGGCCTTGAATAAGAGATATCAGGCTATGCTAGAACAACTGAAGAATGTTGGTTTGGATCCTGAATGTTTTGTAGCAACTGTGAAAGATTTACAAAATGAAAACTCAAACCTAAAGGATGTCTGCAAAATGGAGCGACTTGAGAAAGAAGCCCTTTATGAAAAGTCAAAGGAGATAGATAAACTTTCAAGTGAAAATGCCGATATGGCAAGTTCCCTGTCAAATTTGAATGATGAGTTGGATGGCTTGAGAAGTGAAGTGAAGAAGTTTAAGGAGAGCTGCCAAGTTCTTCAGGAAGAAAAATCAGTCATTATTGCTGAAAAATCAACCCTGTTTTCACAGTTACAAATAATCACTGAAAGTATGCACAAGTTGTTGGAAAAGAATATTTTACTGGAGAAGTCCCTATCTGATGCCAGCATTGAGCTTGAAGGTTTGAGGGCTAAATCAAATAGCTTAGACGAATTCTGCAAGTTGCTGAATGATGAGAAGTCTAATCTTCTAAATGAAAGAAGCACTCTGGTATCTCAATTGGAAAGTGTAGAAGCAAGACTCGGTGATTTGGAAAAGAGGTTTGCAACACTAGAAGAAAAATACACTGATGTGGAGAGGGAAAAAGATTGCACAATTAATCAGGTAGAAGAACTTCGTGCTTCATTTTTGGTGGAAAAAGATGAGCATGTTAGCCATAAACATTCAAGTGAGGCTCGACTGACTAATTTGGAGAACCTTGTCCATCTGCTACAAGAGGAACGTAGGTTGGGGAAGAAAGAATTTGAGGAAGAACTTGACAAGGCTGTAAATGCTCAGGTTGAGATATTCATTTTGCAGAGGTTTGTGGAAGACTTGGAGCAGAAGAACTTGGCCTTATTAGATGAGTGTGAAAAACATGTTGAGGCATCAAAGTTTTCTGATAAAGTCGTCTCTGAGTTGGAATGTGAAAATCTTGAGCAACAGATGGAAATAGAGTTTTTGTTAGAAGAAATTAGAAAGTTGAGAATGGGGATTCATCAAGTATGTGGGGCTCTTCGAATTGATCATGATGATGGGAATGGCAAACTTTTGAAGCTAGAGGAAAAGCATATACTTCATATCTTGGATAATATTGAGGGGTTGAAAGGTTCTTTTGTGAGAAGCCAGGATGAGAAGCAGCAGATGCTGGTAGAGAACTCTGTCCTCTTAACTCTACTTTGTCAATTGCAATCTGAGGGAGCAGAACTGGAGTCCAAGACAAAGACCATGAAGCAGGAGCTCAGCATCCTGATAGAGCAGCATGAAATGTTGCAGAAGGATAAGCTTGAACTTTTGGAGATGAACAGTAATTTAAGGGATGAAGTAATCAAGGGAGAGGAAAAGGAGAATATGTTGAAGTCCAATTTGGAAGATCTGCACGTGGAGCTACTGGACTTGCAAGGAACAAATTTGGTTCTGCAGGAGGAAAATGGCAAGGCACTTGAGGAGAATAGTTCATTGGTTAAGAGTGTTTTGGATCTCAAAGATGCAATTTCCATTTCTGACAATGATTGCTGTGAAATCCTCCATGAGGCACTGACTCTAAGCAACCTCAATGTGGTTTATCAGAGCTTTGCTGCTGAGAAGCTCTTGGAAAATGAAGCACTTGGTGAACATCTGAACATTCTTCATCATCTAAGCAGTGACCTCAAGCAGCAGGTAGGAGTGATGCATGAAAAATTGGTGCTAAAAGGTGTAGATAATGAGTACCTGAATGACACAATTGAGAGGATGGGCGAAGAACTTCAGGAAGCCAAAAACGTAAATAATCATTTATGTCATCAAATTGAAAAGGCTGAGGAAATTCTCAAAAAGAAAGAAGCAGAGATATTAGAAATGGAACAAAAGCTGAAGGCGGCGGAGACAGTGAATGCAGAGCTTTGCAGATGTGTTGAAGAACTGAAGATGGAATGCCACGAATCAAGACTGATCAAGGAAAATCTAGAGAGTCAGGTTCTTGAAATATCAGAAGAATGCTTGAATCAGAGAAAGGAGTCTGAGCACCTTAATG